TTCCACATCCTATCACCACAGCTACTGCTCTCCGCAGCTATTCAACTGCTCTGAAGATGGAGGCGCTACGTTCCTCCGAAACGTCGGCCAAAACGAAGAATACACGGTGCCTAAACCCAGAAGACAACTTTCTTCATTGTCATCGCCGTGAAAACCTCAAAACTTACAACTGTAGAGTACTTTGACTCTATATTAAAACAGTCTCCAAAAGAATTTTTAATGTTAATATTAGGTGTGCCCCCGCTTTCATCATTATTGCAGTTTTGATTTTTTCCAAGGCAGTTGCAGATGCGTGGAATGCAACCCTTGTTGGCAGTCATGTTGGTGTCCTTGGTGTCTTACATGAATTTAGATCTCATTTGTTTCAAGGAGCAAGAAATCAGCCCTTTTATGCGGCAAAACAGCATGAGATTAGAGTCTTCTAGGGTCTGGCACCATGTAGGTTCGTAGGTTGGAGGGTACCTGTCTACCAGACTACATGGAGTCACAGCCCAATAAACAAACTGGTTGGTGTAATGGAATTGCTGTAGACTTGTATTCAGGAGGTACTTGGTTCAGACAGTGAAGTCAGTGGCAGTCCTGATTGAAGTTTTTCATGGTATTGCTCAGTTCCTGAAGGCAAATTTGGGGATAGTACCTTGATTTGGTTATGGCCATTTCCTTCCAAATCCTTTCCAGCTCATTATTGATTAATCATCCTGCCCTTTGATGCTATATAGTGGAGATACTGACAACATGGTATTAAAGCTGCATCCCAGAATACCAGTCTTTAATATTCATTGCCATGTGAATCTCAAATCTCATACCCTTGTATATACATTATTCTTCAAAATTCATCATTAGTTGCACTTAAATTATCTTGAAACCTGATTCTGAACTACTTTGAACACTTCACCTTTGAAAATACAGTAATTTCAGCCTTTAGTGAGACCTAAAAACTAGTGCAGGACTTATATTGAAGTAAAATTCTTTCCCTGAGTGCAGTTTGTAACTGTTGCAGTGTGCATCAAGTAACTCCACTGTGATGCATGCTCCACAAAGCAGCATCCTAATAGCATTCTTGGAAGCTGATTAAACTTGCTTGAGGCCAGTTTATACACAGCATTTCAGCAAACACACAAAATATATTAGGTGAAACAAGCAGAATTCATTTCAACAACATAATAAGGCAGAATATTAAATTAAATTATAACATAATTTTGGAAATGGTTTATGGAGTTCAAAGAATTGTCCTTTCATAGCATAATGTAAAGCAGGCTTTGTAGTCTGTCAATATGGCTAAAAATCAGAATGGTAAGCTGCCATCATAAGAACTGCCATATCAAATTTCCACCAGTTCTTTTTGTTCTCAGACGGTTATTCAGTGCTGTTAGTATTGAGACAATACTGCGCTAATGATGGAATGATACTATGCGTGCAGAGCAGATGGTCGAATGTGAAGCCTGTCTTATTCAGGAACAAGTGAGATTTAATTTCCTAAAAGGCCAGGCCAGCTCTGGGACTCAGTCAGCCTCCTATTCAATGTATATCAGGGACTCTTTCCTGGGGGATAAAGTCAACCCCTCATCTCTATGTACTTCAGCTATATTTCCACTACCCCACCTGTCTCACCCATCAGAAAACGAAAAAGCAACTGTTGCATGGCAGGAAAGAGAGTGCATAAGACACAAAAATTGAGACAAAGAGAACAGGTTGGTCTAGAGTTGTACTTTGGAGATACTCAGTTCGAATCTCTGATGGACACCTATCTTGACTGAGGTCCCTCCAGGACAGTTTTCAGGATAGTGCCTTTGAAAAAGTTATGCCTACTCCCTTCCACATACATTTCCAATTCAATCATTTGACACACAACAGTGAAAGTTAATGAGAGTGTCGTTAAATAAAGAGCAACACCAGTAATCCATCTAACAGCATGTCAGAATATGTTTACTTCTACAATTCTGAAACCAGCAAAGTGCTGGGGCACAGATGAATGGACCTGCCCTTATCTCCCACAGATGACACATGAAATCGCCGGGAATTGAACCTGAGGCACCGCAATTGACCGTCAGTGCCTACACCAGCAGTGCAAAACTGCCATTCGTTTTCAGTTACTTAAAAAATATGTAATCTTGTTGTCCATATGTATGGCCGAGCATGACGCTATGGTGACATATTGGGGTGGTTGAAGTAGTTTCATGGATAAATAACCTCACCTCTAGATGCGATTGACAACTGTTCCCCCATAGGCCCACACTGGATCATTAGAGGTTAGAGGTAGAGAACCAGTCTGGACGATGCGGAATAGACAGAAATCTCTGTCCTTACTGGGATTCGAAGCCGGACTGCTCAATCGTCCAACCCATAGCCTCGTTGCTATATTGACTGAGCTATCCTACTTCAGGGATCAGCATTAGGGGGAGGGCACACCAAGGAAACTGGCAACCGTAACGCAACCGCAATTTTCGAGAATTTTTATCAGCCAGAGTTGAACACATGTTACTGAATGGAGCAGTGCAAACTAAGGAAACTGCATTGCCGATAACAATTCTCGGAAATTGCGGTTGCCAGTTTCCTTGGTGTGCCTTCAGCCTTACTAGTTTGTAACAGCGAATCATAAGTCGCCCAAATGTACCCGACTTTCTTCCGATACTGTTTAACAAGTAGACCCAATTCAGTTTTCCAATAGTGTAAATGCAATTTTGCGCACAATGTGGAGGTGGGGTCAAATACCTCCCCCGCAGGCCTGGGAGTCCTGACATCTGGGACAATGTTCTCTACGTTCACTAGTTTCCTATCGCATATACGCCCAATGTATGTTTACTGACCTGTAGCAGTTTACAGAGGCTCATGCGCCCTAAGGCTCAGAGGCTTCATTTGTTTAGAGTAGTTGTATTATGGGCAGTGGTCGAAGTGTTTGTTGGTAGTTGCGTATTTAGTCCTTGGCGCAAGAGCAGTAGAATTGTCTGGTTATCGTTAAATATTGGAAGTTTAGACATTGTAAATACATAATTTATTAAAAATGTCTTACGCCTATTTATTTAAATACATCATTATAGGTGATACAGGTGAGACTGTGTTATGTACATGATTATAGTTAGGACATGGTGATTGACGGTAGGCTGTTATACTCATCGACGTTTGTCAGCAGAAATGATGAGTAATTTTGGTACACTGAGTATGTGAACAAAGAACGTTCTTTACGAGAGTCGAAAATAACGTTAAATATCATATATTGTGTTTTAGGCGATTGAAACTGACATTAATTTCTATCGTATATTACCCTCCATTCTCCGAAGTTTTCTTTCTTGGTCTGTAGGTTGAATCGCGGGTCGAGGTATTACAGTTCATTTAAAATGTTGTGTTTGTTAAACGAAATGTACAATACTCAGCCATGTATGTCATACTTTACTTTATTTATTTCATTCTCTCAATCCATATAAGGTCAAACCAACCTATTGGATATAGAATCTGTCATGTTTAAACATAAAATAATAAAATATACATTCATAACCATGTTTGAACATAAGATAATAAAATATACATTCCTAACCCATACAATGACAAATGAAAACACTAAGAACCGCTATAAATTAGTGGGGCTCGACACCAAGACAGACAGACTGACTAACCGTCAGTCGCAATGTGACTTTGACTTTGACAAGAATACAAACACTGATGCAGTTGTAGTAGTTACATAAGCTGTGTAATTATATTATCCGTAGGAGAGACGATCAAGACAAAGTGTTCATTGAGAAGGTGATTTATAATATTCATCAATACTATAAAAAAACATGTTCAATGAGGTAGCTTTTTAATAAAAATTGAATTCTTTAATATCTTTGGATAGCAATTTAATGTTTCAGGGTAAGTGGTTATAAATCTTGCTACCCGAGAAAAGCACGTCTTTTTGAACTATTGATAGATTTGTAGAAGGTAGATGATTTTTCTCGAAATCCAAATTGTTCACTGACCAATATATTGTGCTTGTTTATATGGAAGTCTAATCTTTTATAAATGATTTTTTCGATAATTTTGGAAAAAGTTGGGAGGAGTGAGATAGGCCTGTAATTCGTAAATTCTGATTTATCACCCTTCTTGTATAACGGCTTAACTTCTGAGAATTTCAGTCTGTCAGGAAATAAGGAAATATACCTGTTTGTAGGATCTTGTTAAATATGTTAAGGGTGATAAGACATACGGAGCAGTAAATTTCAGAATTCTTAATGATATCTCATCATATCCACGAGAGTTCTTAGGTTTTAGTGAAAATATTATTTTTTCAATTTCATGGGTATTCGTATTACAAAGTTTCATAGATGGAAACGAATGATAAAAATTTTGATGTAAATAAGATAAAGAATCTTTATTATTAACAGAGGCTTTCTCCGAGGAGTTTTTGATAAGTAATTTTTCAGCTACAGATGAGAAGTAATCGTTAAACACATTTGCTATGGCTACGGAGTTACCAGATAATTGTTTTTGAAGTTTGTTGTAGTTACATTCTCATTAGGCCCTTTATTATTAGTAATGGTTTTTACCATATTCCAAGTAGTTCTAGTTTTTTTGTTAGATTTTAATAAAAGTTTATTATAATAGTATTTTTTTGCAGTCATAATAACCCTGGCTAAGATTCGACAGTATTTCTTAAAGTGTTCTTTGATATTAGGATCATTGCTGTTTCTGTAAGCTAGATAAAGTTTCCTTTTACTAGCGCATGATGTTCTAATATCGGAAGTTAGCCATGGTTTTAGTTTATACAAATATAGGATTTTACCACAGGAAAGCATGCATAGAAAATCCTAAGAAATGTGTTCAAAAAATTATTAAAAGCCATATTCACAGTAGTTTCAGAAAAAAAAACATCTTCCCAATTTTCATAGCTTAACAAAAATGTAAATTGACCTATTGAGTAGTTATTGATATCTCGCCTAAAGTAATATGCATGTGTAGGGATAGGAATATTATTTAAGGTGATGACCTGAGCATCATGGTCAGACAGACCATTAGTAAGAGGATGTACAGAAAATTTGTGCAAATTGGTATTAATATAAATATTATCTATTAAGGTGCAGGAATTATTAAAAATTGTTGTAGGAAAATTAATTGTACTAAAAAGATTAAAAGAAGCTAAAAGTGAGTTTAAAAGATCTTTCCTATTATTATCGTTAAAATAATTTATGTTAAAATCACCACATAAAAATAATTCATTTGATATTTTATGCACTTTGTTAAGAATTAATTCCAGTTGGTTTAAGAAGTAAGAGAAGTTGCCGGTAGGGGGTCTATACATACAGATGATAATAAAGTGGTTTGACATAAAATGTAACTTTAAAGCAAAAATTTCAAGGTCCTTTTCTTCATTAATTTGGTCAAGATTAATAGCAGTAAACTGAATATTCTTATGAGCCTTAACACACACTCCTCCATGGCTATATGTTTGTCTGCAAAGGGAAGTACCTACCATATACTGACTGAAGTTTAATTTACCTATTTCATCAATTCTCAGGTGATGTTTAGATAAGCAGATGATTTGTGGCGCATTAGAGGATAAAGAAATTAGAAATTCATCAACTTTGTTAGTAATTCCTCGTATGTTTTGATGGAAAATTGTTAATTTGGGTTTTTTATGATCATGCACGATTTTATTGGAGGGGTGATTATTCTTATTATGAACAATGCTGTCAAATTGCTTGAGACACTGTTCTTTTTGGTAGTGTTCACCATAGCTGATTAGAACGTAATATTTTGCCTCTTGCTTGAATAAGTTCTGCCAGAATTTGTTCACTACCTGGCGATTTATACTGTTTCAATTTTGCAATAGCACTTTCAACCTCAAAAGGGCTAGGATCAGGTATTAACAGCTCAGCTGTATCGATTTCTGTCTGACTAACATCACTGACCCTATGTTCATGTTGCTATTCAAAATGTTGTGGGAATCTGCAAGCAATCACCATTCTCATCCTTCACTAAGTTACCGCTAGGCTGGTAACCTCTCTTAAAGTCATTTATTCCTCTATACAGGTCTCTAATGTTCTTACGGTTCATCGCAAGCTCATCAATTTTGTCTTTCAGATATTCCCTCTTTTTGTTCCTGAAATGCCTGCTGGTTTCACGTCTTATATTGTTCAGATTATCCCCATTTAACTCACTTGGATCCTGTAACCATTGCAATTTGGCCTGCTTTCTTTAATCTACTAATTTTGAGCATCCTTCGTCGAACCATGGCTTATGCTTCTTCGGTTCATAATAACCTAGACTCTCTTTGGCAGACATTTTTATATTCTCTCTGATAGTTTCCCAAGTTTTATTAACATCCACCTCAGTGTCCAAGTTTTCCAAAGCCGCAAACCTATTTGAGATTTCAACACGATACTGCTCTTTACCCTCTACCTCATTTAATTTCTTGAGATTGAGCCTCTCCATATGAACTCTGTGTGTTGTTTGTTTGCCAGTCTTTCCCTAACCTTTGCCACCACCAGGTAGTGGTCAGTATCACAATCTGCTGCCCTGAATGGACATAAGTACGCTTCAGTGCCATCTCCTATCTATCAAAGTATGGCCTATCTGACTGTGTATCTTCCCATCAGGAGATATCCAAGTAAATTTATGGATGTTACGATGCGGGAACATTGTATTTTTGCCAGTAAGATTTTTTGGTGTGGCAAAGTTTACTACTCTAACTCCATTATCATTACTAATTTCATGCAAACTTTCATTCACAATTGTTGATTTGGAAATGTTTCCCTCCCTACTTTGGCATTGAAATCTAACAAAATTTTCATAGGGTACTTCGGGAATTTATCAAATACATGTTCTTGTCCTTCATAGAATCTGTCCTTTATGTCATCAATTTTATCATCTGTTGGGGTGTGAACATTCATAACAATGATATCATACCAGCAACCTTTTAGTATTATATGTGATATCCTATCACTAATGAATTCTAACCTCTTAACTGCTGATACGATTCTCTTATGTATGAAAAAACCTGTACGTAAATCATGATTTTCATTCCCCTTTCCATAGAAAAATGTATAGTTTCCTGCTGGTGCAATGCAACCTCTGTCCCATCTGACCTCCTATACTCCCGCTAAATCTAACTTATATTTTAAGATTTCTTCTGCCACTGCCCTGAGCGAACCTGCCCTATACAAACTTCATACATTCCAAGTGCCAAATCTCATCCATTTTCATTAGCTTAGGTCGTTTATCCAAGGAATCGGTCCAGGTCTGAGGCTTAGTGCTCATTTTCGTAACAATGATTTTTTATGGCGAGGAGTTGTTAGCCCCACGCCCAACCCCCAAGCTGGAGGGCCACCCCTTGTCAGCTGTCCGCAACTGCTTATTCAATATATTCACAGCTTCCCTCCAAAACTGGAGGTCTTCTCCACCATCCGCAACCTGAGGATGTGCCATGCCATGGTGACGGACCCACCTAACATGGCTTCAATTATGAATATAATGCAAAATTTATATTTAACATAGTTAAATGTAGTGTTATTGATGAGTTCAGGGATGTGTGATTGTGTTGTCATCACCACTGGTGCAAATTGGTCTTGCCATTAGTGGATTTGTGTAGCTTCCATGACCTTTTTTTTTTATCTTATTCCATTTCTTGTGTAAAGTTACATCTGGCTTGTGTTCAGAAGGTGGCTGCTTCAGCCTTTATAAGCAGATCAGGAGAAGCTTGAATTAGGCTGTGACTGCATCCTTTCCAGTTATTTAATCGCCCTGCCATTTGATGCTGTATAGTCCTAGGTACTGACAGCAGCATCACATAAGCCACAGACTGTTGAATGTTGGTTCATCATTCCTGTTTTATATTCAGAGCGTATCCTTGTTGAAATACAGTAGCAGATCTTGCTATGGAAGTTATGTCATGCAGGATTCTAGCCACATGACCAGGTATGCTATTTGCTATGAAGTGGGAATCTTAATAATAGTAATAAGCCGACTGATTAACATATATATATTTTTTACAGGTGTGGGAAAGTCTTGCCTGCTGCTCCAATTTACAGATAAGCGATTTCAGCCTGTTCATGATTTGACTATAGGTAGGTACTCTGGAGACTCCGACATGTGTTCTGGGGAGGGCGGGTGTGGGTGTCACTTCCAAGAATTAGGAGCTGCTGCAGAAATAAGAAATGAATTAAAATTATATTGTAAGATTTGAGGCTTTCACGGCAGTGACTATGAAGAAGGCAGTCTTCTGGGATTTGGCAGACCGTTCTCATGGTCTTGTCGCTTGCAGATTTCTTATACTTTTTCTTCTACCCTGAAGATGGAGGCGATACGTTCCTCCGAAACGTCGGTTAACACCACTTATACACGGTGCCAAATCCCAGAAGACTGCCTTCTTAAAAATATATTATTTATGGTTGTTGGTTGGGAGTTACATTAAGGGAAAGACAGATTGAGACCGAAAGTGTTTGAGGACAGGAAACTGTGAAGAATATTTTGGATCTAAAAGGAGAAAGTAACAGGAGAGTGGAGAAAATGTATAATGAGGAGTCTTATCCTTCGTACTGTTCACCTGTTACTGTTAGAAAGATAAAGGCAGGGTGGATAAAATGGCCAGGACATGCATCATCCATGGAAGAGAAATGCATACAGAACTTTTGGTAGGGTAACCTGAAAGGAAGACACCACAAGGAGGACCTGGTTGCAGATGAGGGGATAATATTAAAATGGATCTTACAGAATTAGGAGGACAAGGTGTGAACTGGATTAAATTGACTCAGGTTAGGCACCAGTGACAGAGAGTTATGAACAGGAGCCTGGGTTGATCTCAGGGCCAGTGTGTATGCTTTTGACTAACCCCCTAAGCACGCTGTTCTCAAACACCCTCTCTCTGTGATCTCCTGTTATTGTGAGGGATCCACTTGTACAGAACTACAGGCAAAAGTATGGGGTTCAAATTATTATGATTCAGGGGTGTGACTATAGATGGGGCTTGGATTGGATATTGGATTTATTGGCCTCTTGTGCACACCACTTGGAACTGCACTTTACAGGTCACTGACACACAGACTAGTGTCCTTAGTCTATTACAGTCTCCACTAGCCGTTTCCTGGCAACAGATTTAACACAGGAACAGTAACAGTCTCACTGACTTACACATTCCGGATATCGCACATAAAGTCTTCTCTTCACAGCCACACTTTTGCAGTTACTCTTGTGTACTGACAGCTCAACTGACTGGGTCCCAGGCCAGTGGTCATTTCACACAAAGCTAGTCTTCTCTTCACAGGCTCACTTCCAGCTGAACAGCCCTTAGCCGGTCTGGGGCCCTCACTGCATAGCCTTGGGACAGGTCCAACAGTCCCTCTGTTGTTGTGATTGGTTGCCTAGCAATAGCTCAGATATTGTTCACATGCTTACCTGCTGTTACCAAGCAATGCATGTTCCTTTTTTTGATCATTGCATAGCAACCGGACTACACATTACACCGCCAAGCAACGGAGCTTTAAACGCATGGCTATAGCAATACACACCGAGACTGGTTACTAGGCAGTTGCATGGTAACATATCTCTGTAGTAATAGAGGATGGTGTTTCTATGGGGTCTGGTTTGAGACTATTATAACGAGGATCTGTTATAGCTAGCTGGAACTGGGAGTTCAGAAGTTATAAGAGAAATGTTGAAGAAGAATTAGAAGTCGGCCTGTGAAGGCTTAATGTGTGATTTGAAGACTTTATATGTTCTGTAGTGCAGTGATAACTGGAGTGTGACTGATATAGTTCATGTTAAAATCCATTGCCATGAAACGGATAGTGGGAACATTGTAAAGGCCTAGCCATTGTTGAAATCTGTTACCTAGTAACAACTAGTGAAAGGAGATATAGAAGATTTTGTCTGCTATAATTACAGTAATCTTTAGAGTGTTATAATTATTTGTAGTTACAACTTATGAGTGTTCAATAAATCCAGTCATCAAATTCAGAACCCATTATTATTCCTCATGCTAACCCTAATACGTGACAGTATCTTAATCTTTACATTTTTTGGGCAGCAGATAATANGGGAATTCAGAGCAGAGCTCCTTATTATCTGAAGAAAGCAGTCTTCTGGGATTTGGCACCGTGTATATGTGGTGTTAACCGACGTTTCGGAGGAACGTATCGCCTCCATCTTCAGGGTAAAAAAAATGTAAGAAATCTGCAAGCGAAGAGACCGTGAAGATGGAGGCGATACATTCCTCTGAAACGTCGGTTAACACCACATATACACGGTGCCAAATCCCAGAAGACTGCTTTCTTCAGATAATAAGGAGCTCTGCTCTGAATTCCCCGAATTTAGTCTGGTCTTAACTTCTTCATGAATGTTTGCATATTGTAAGAAGAAGAAGTGTTTCACACTCTGAGGACTGATCCCTGATTTCATAGTTACCCTGCTCAGAGGCTGTTCACCATACTGACGAAGCCGAGCCAACTTATATATCACTCGTATTCTTTTCGGAAATTTAGTTCCTCTCATTACAACTTCACATTCATCCCTTTTCTATCGTGTAATAACTTAAGCATTGAAAACGGCAGTGTCAGTGTGCCAGAAGTGTTACGGTACACTTACATTTCCAAACTTCTTGTTCATCTCCCAATAGTGTGTAGTAATGCTTTCAGCATCAGGCGTTGCTTGAAGAATATAATTATAAGCAGTGAATGTTTGTGTATGCATCTAGAAATGGATTTGACATGTTGGAATTGTTTCAGGAGTTGAATTTGGAGCTCGCATGATCACGATCGATGGGAAGCAGATTAAGTTACAGATCTGGGATACAGTAAGTATTGCTGGGGCCGGAACCGTTCTTGGACTTGAGCAGTATGGCTGCTGACCGGCCTGAGATGAGTTGTGTTTGTGAGTGTGTAAGCCAGAGTTCACAGTAGTCATATATACAGTAAACTCTTGCTAATCCTGATTGATTATGGGGAGAGGTGATCTGGATTAAGCGATATTTCTTGTTAATGAAGCGAAATATAGTCCTAAAAGGCAAAGAAAAAACTTAAGAAATAATAAATGGAAAATGTAATAATATAGGTAATGCTGATTGAAATAAGTAAAAAAATATCACTGCAACAACTTCGTCCTCTGTCAGAAGCTGAAGTCTGGGATCTCCTCCATCCAGTTTAAGCCAGTCTTGGATATTTTCTTGTGTGGCTTCAGTCTCTCCAGCTGCCCTCAACACAGTGTGAAAGTCCTCTTGCTCCAAAATCCCATGTATCTTTTAAAATCATATATTCATCTGTGAATAACATTTTTCATATTTCAATATGGATTAACTTTAACTGGATTAGTGAGGTTTTACTGTATTCTAATGGCTCATGTGCAACATTTGTGTGTGGGAGTTAAGATTGACTGGAAGAAGGGAAATAGGAGTTACATCTGTTAGTGAAAACCATAAACATGTGTTTTCGATATCTTTGAGATTTTACTTCGGAAAATTCAGTAGGAACACGACTGCCAGTGGGTTTTTTATCCACAGCAAATAAGCAGTATATATTCCAGTGATCTAGATTGTTAGAATACTTTGCATTTGCCCAACCACGGTCCCATCTCTTCTTTTTCATCCCAGGCTTTGATTGGCCAGTTCCACTGGAACACTGAACGTCCCATCTGGCATTCTTATCATGTACCTCAGTCGTTGTAGGAAAGCACTGGTACAGTACATTGAAATTAGGCCATGACTGCCTCAATCCACAGTCTTCAATTCATTATTCAGTTTTATCCACTCATTTGTTACCATGTAGCCCTCTTAGCCAAACTGTGGTTCAAGAGCTGCATGTGGCTCATGAAAAAATTATTACTTAATATCGTTTTCACGAGTAAATTAAATATGGTAAACACTCATTATAATGGACTAATAAGGGGACAGGATGTATGTTATTGCCAATGTTCACCACAGTTGAGTGGAAGTACACCACAGGGTACGTAGCCAATACATGCAATAAATATAGAAAAACACAATGTGAATACATTATGATTTTTATATTTGGGATATTTTTTATTTTAAATAATTTTCTAACAACACCTTCTTATGTGCCTAATCATGTTTAAAAATTCACAGCTGTACACAGCCAGATGTCTGTTACATCCAGATGTGTTGTGATGAGGGCTTACTGTATATAAAATCCTGTTTCCTGGCAAGCATGTACCTCGACACCTGTGCAATCCAATCCATGATTGTGGTTCCCAGACTTCTGAAAGCCGCCAGTAAGTTCAGCTGTCCCAGCTATATAGCTCCAGGTTACTGATAGTGGTGTTAAGTGGATATTCTTCATAGCCTGGTTCCTGCCACCTCATCCGTGTAACATGCCCGTTTCCCATCATGACCGTGAACGTGAAGTCACCTGCTCTGGCTGAAGCGTTGGGAACCACCACCAACCCAGAAGACCACAGTTTAATTAGTGAACGTTTTTCCAAATAATAAAACCCATAATTATGCAGGCAGGTCAGGAAGCGTTCAGATCGATCACACGGTCATACTATCGAGGAGCAGCTGGCGCACTGCTGGTGTATGACATCACGAGGAGAGAGACATTCAATCACCTAACAACATGGCTGGAAGATGCACGACAACATTCCAATTCTAACATGGTCATTATGCTTATTGGAAACAAAAGGTACTGATAACCTTATCCCAGAAATAAATTACATACATGCTGGGATAGCTCAGTTAGTATAGTGAAAGGCTAAGGGCAGAATGAATATGGTTCAGTTCTCTTTATCGTGGTGTCCAGACTGGCTCTGAGACTCATCCAGCTTTCTCTCCAATGGGCTTCAGGGTTATTTCTCTTGGGAATAGGGTGGCTGGTGCTTGAAGCTGTGTGCTTGCTTGCTTCTTGTGCTGGGATTGAGAGAGAATTGTTTGCTTCTCCATATACTTACATGGCCTGTTGTTTAATTAAGAATAGATAATCCATTCCAGCATGTGCCTTCATGGTGTGGTGCTTAATAAGATAAGCACAGGGACAACTTTGCCTTAACTTTGTCATTACTTGCTTAAAGTAATTTTCCCATGTAGGTTGGTTCATTCTTAGAAGCTTTCCACCACTGCCAGCCGTAATAAATTTATTGGGGCGTTAGGATCGTGTCCTGTGTGTTGTGGCATGGCTCTTTACATACATTGGAATTTCCGCTAGTAGTTTGTACGTAGGAACAACAGGTGGCAGGAGTTACATATTTGCCCTGTTGTTGTTTTAACTATGCGATCACACTTGTTTTCACAGTATTGTATCTGGTAGAAGTTGAAGTTGTTGTAGGAAGGATGGGAAAAATGAGCCTTCCTTGTTTTTTGTTTGAATGCAAATCATAGAAATGTTTAATTTTTTGCAGTGATCTTGAATCGAGGAGGGAAGTGAAGAAGGAAGAGGGTGAAGCGTTTGCTCGTGAACATGGCCTCATCTTCATGGAGACCTCAGCCAAAACAGCTGCAAACGTTGAGGAAGCCTTCATCAACACAGCGAAAGAGATCTATGAAAAAATTCAGGAGGGTGTTTTTGATATCAACAATGAGGTTTGTTGCACCTTCTTGTTGAACTTGGCTTCATAATTGTGTGTTACATATGAGTAGATGGGTCAAGAAATTTTAACTAACTTTAGTGGTGGTGTTCAAAAGCTTGTAGTTGCTTATTTGGTCAAGAAATTCCCAGTGTTATATGGAAGCTGAAGGTTCATTACTGTGCTCACAGCAGTCAGCATGTGGCCCCTGTCCTGAGGCTCATGAATCATCTCCATATGATAGCATTTTAATTATGTAAGATCAAATTTAATAGTGTCCGTCCAGCTGCACCGAGATCTTCCAGGATTTTTTTAAGGTTTTCCTATCAAAACTTTTGTGCATTTGCCTTCTCTCCAATGCGAACTTCATACTGACCCCATCTCACCAGCCTTGATTTAACCATCTAAATTATATCTGGCAAACTGTACGTAAGAAGTCGGCTGGGAGGACATGAAATGGGTTCAGTTAGCTCATAATAGACATCTGTGGCAGGCCTTTGTGAATAAGGTAATGAATCTGCCAGAAACATAACCTTCCATTAAACATTGTGGTGCATGATTTGTAATATTGATTACATTCACCTGTTTCATGAGATTTTGTTTAACGAAGTAGTTGAAGGTTAAATTAGAGATTGTGTTGAGTTTCTTTTCACTGTTTCACATTGGAATGTTTTCAGGCGAATGGTATCAAGATTGGTCCCCAGCATTCACCCACCAATCCCAACTTGCCGTCAGGTAGCCAGGGTTCAATGCAAGGAGGAGGCTGCTGTTAGGAGCTGGCCCGCCTCGCCCCTTGCTCCTACTGTCCGGGGCTCTGAGTGAGGCCTCGGTGACTGACTGTTCTCTGACTGCTGCTTCCCCTAACCTGCCCCACCCCCTTACGCCAAGGTGAATCAGATCTGGATCTTAAACTGTCCTGTCAGGTAAAAACTGGTCGTTCACTTGATAGACTCTCATATACATATATCCTAGGAAGCTATGCTTGTATTTAAACATATATATTTAAATCTTAAATAGTTTTGAAGGTATCTGAAATAATGATGCTAGGATTTGTTGGTTTTGTGCATGTCTTCAGTATGCTTTTAGTGAGGAAGGTTTAGAAACCTCTCATAATAATAAAAATGTTCTTTAATTCTGGTAATTTCTAAAGAATATGTTGCACTTAGTGCCAGAAAGTCTGTAAATAATTTAGTNAAGAATACACGGTGCCTAAACCCAGAAGACGACTTTCTTCAATTTAGTAGAAGTTTGTAAAGAGTTCTGTTATTCTGAAAGCAGAATGTTTCCTGCTTATTACTTTTTGGACCACTCTGTTGTGTCGCTGCGTAAGCTGGCCAGTGATCGAGAATAGGCGCCAAACAGTTACAAGCCAAATACGGTTCATGAGATCTGAGGTAGCCTCTATGCTGAATGTGAAGCATTGTGGTCTAGTAGGAACCAGCTGCCGGCAACTTCAGGACAGAAGCATAAGCTGGGTGGGAAAACGAGGGTACAGGTGTAGGAAAAGGAAATGCATGTATCCTCGTTCACATCCACTCCATTGCACTCAAGATCGAGACAGTAGGTTCCTTCGAAACAATAGTAACAGGCTACATGATACCACAGAAGGCAGTTGTAATGTGCAATGAATATTATTAATTCAAATCTGAGTAGGTTTTGCTTCGAATAACGCGTCTTCTCTTCATATTCTAAGCTCCAAGCACAGTAAGCTGTACAATATGTGAGGGCTGCATGGGTTGGTAGTAGAGATATATTATAAGAAATTGTAACTTAACTGAAAATAGAGATGTGGCCATACATTTTTACAATGAGTGCAAGAAATTGACATCCATTAAGTTTTGTGTACAGGTGACTCTCATTATACTCACTTTGATTATCTACAGTTCTAGTTCAATGTTATGAGAAACATCGATTTCCTCTGTGTGGCCATGATAAGAGCTATTGCACATTCCTGGTGTCTTGTTTGTCCATTTCCCTGACTCGTTGCACCATTTTGAATCAGGCACACCATTTTCTGTTCTGTCTTCACTGTATTCCGCATTGAGCACATTTCCTGTTTTATATAGTTTTTGATATACATGATGATTTTCCGGAATGCAAGCCCCATTTATAATGAGAGTCACCTACGAGTATTTAATTATATTGTGGTTCTTCACACCTGAACTGAGTCTAGTGTATTTGAAGAATTGCTTTTCTACACTTGCTTTGAGAATACAGTCCAGATGTTAAAACTTGCATTTTCATTTTTTACTCTGTTTTGTGGTGCAATGGTTTATGCTAATGTCGATTTACCAGCCAACCATAACACAGTGTCAGTAACAAAAGAACGAAAGAAAAGAAAAAAGAAAAGTAAAAGTTGTAGTGATCTGCATGACAGCCCTAAGACTGTGAATTCCCATGTTTTGGGAATGGTTCTCTGACTGAGCTGTTAGCTTAGCTGCAATTATATTACAATAGTTTGAAATGTTTCTGCAAAACATAGCTGCTCTGTACATTTAATTTGTTGTAATATCAGACTTGTGAGTTGTACTGTTCTCTTGGATTTCCGAAAGGGACTGTATCTCGTATACTGTGATTATATATTTCATCCACATTTCTCATAATCTTTTCTTTATATCTTAAATCAGATTAAATCTCAGCATTATGGCTGTTTATACCAGTCTCCAGTTCAATTCTTGGCGAGAAGGCTAGCTGTCATGGCTAAGGTTTTACTTGATCCTTCTAGGGAACTGTCAGGCTGTGCTTTAGCTAGAACAGTTTGTCACAAGCTTCTCACCAAGTTCAGTCCCGGGGTTGTCAGAGGATGTCCAGGGAGTTTATGTTGTAACTTAAGGAGTTCATTTTCAGTGAAAAATATATCACCATGGGTCCTGTTCTCAATGGTTTGAGAGCTATGACTCGTGTCACATGTGACTAATTTTGTTGCTGGAAAAAGGTAGAATTACATTGTATAGTTTACATAAAAAAAGACTCCGTGGCCTGTAGTCTGCAAATGAACTATACTGACCAAGTGACTGCTGCTCGTCGGCGAAGTTAGCGCGGCCATTAATCTTGGTTTTCTAGACCGGAGTATAGTTTACATAGCTTATAGTAATTGTTCAAAATGCCTGAACTTAACATCCACTTTCATTGCACTAACCTTATGAAGAACTGCAGCATTGAAAATTTTGCTGAAATAGTTCATATTTTGTGTCCACATTATGCTCATACACCATATCATGTCTTTCACGTGACCCCATATACATTAAGGGTTGAGATTCAGCAAACATGTTGGTCAGTTCAGCATACTGCCATGGCGAGTCCATTTGCAAAGGAATTGTTTATTCAGATACTGCACTGCATTTAAAATACTCACAGCTCAAGCACTTAGCTTTTCCTCTCCAAATATTCTACCGTTGCTTCATACTTGTCCGTCATCAGGGACCAGTACAGTAGGCCCACTGCAGACCCCAGTACTGAGCTTTACTGGGACTCAGATTGACCTCATTCCTGCCCCGGTGATACCTTACTGTAGGCTGCAGTTGCCTCCTCTCACATCAGTAATCTTCAGCATGTGTTATTTTTTAAATTTTCACATTGACTGCGGCTCCCTTTCTGTGGACATTTGGATCCTATCCTGATGAACCATTGACTTAAATGGAGCTGTTTTCACAGAGCCACACTGATTAGTGGTGCGCAAAGATGTACCATAAATACTGAAAAGGAACCTGAAAGTGATATCTACTCAGGCAAGCAGCTGTATCAGTTTGGAGTCTGAGGTCATTCCAGACAACAAAGATGTCTCCATCACTCGGAAAATATATCTTTTGGTGAAATATGTAAATTATTTTGTGTCTTATGTGATATAAGGGTGAAACGTTTGTTACCCCTTGACTGCTGCATCGGTGAGTGCTTTGATGGTTCCCCATTGTGGATTTATTTATAGACAGTTTCAAATTCAGATCCACCCTACATGAGACCAATGTCTGGATTTGTCCCCATACGAAAATATCTTTACACAAAAAAAAAATGCATACCTTTATGGACATTACGAGAATGTGGCAGATACTTTTGCTTATGTGTATAATACAGTACAGCCAAAATATGGACTACCATAGTGTGAACTCTCCCCAAGAGATGGCAGGAACTCTGGGATAAGTTTGTAATAGTCATGGTTACACACAGTCTGCATGGTAAGACGTATGTAGTTTAATGTGTGACTTGGGCTTTCAGAAATATGCCACATGGAATATTGAAGGTGTGTCATTGGTTTGGCAGGTATTGCATAGTGGAACCTCGCTTAATGAGCATAATTAGTTCCAGAATCTTACTCGTAATGCGAAACACTCGTTAAGCAAAACAATTTTTCCCATATAAATTAATGTAAAATACGATGTGTTCCATGCCGAAAAAAAATACTCAAAAATTTTATATATAACGTTTATTCAAAGAAAATTATATATACATTGTTAAGGAGTGTGAATCATCTTCATCTTTTCTTCTATGTGGAATGAACCAACCTGGAATGCGAATTCGATTTGCAGAAAAAAAATCGAAATAATTAGTTTATTATTTATGATACATATCTAATTCTTTTTTACTGGAAAGCTGTCTAGAGACATTTATTTTTGCCGACGCTTCAAAATTTGGTGAAAATGCGACACAGCATTATCATTAAATAAATTTGTAGCGCGCATAGCCACTGCCTTATTAGGGTGATGCTTCTCAGTGTACGATGCAACAGTTTCCCATGCTTTCAGCATTTTTCTTATTGCACCAGAAGATTGTTGCTTTGCTGTTACCTCCTCCACCACAATGCAACTCCAAATCGTGCAAATCGATGTAGACCGATTGTATGTGCGTGCTAGATCAGCCATGCTCACATGTCGTTCTCGCTTTTGAATGATTTTACCTTTCATTTCTACGGTTATTTTTATTCTCTTATGGCTGTCTTTTTGTGGCTTTTCATTGGGGGACATTTTTGCAAGGGTAATTAAACTTTGCACAAAAAAATCACAAATAATATGTCTGAACACAAGTTTGAAAAATTTGTGATCACAAACAACACTAAGATGCTAGCAGAATGAGTGCTAAACACAGACTGATGTAGCAAGCGCACAATCCAGGACTTCCCCTCCCGTCACTCATTATGTGAAACGTCGCTCGATAAGCGAGTCTTTTTTTTACAATTTGTTTTGCTTGTTATGAGAGGTGCTTGTTAAGCGAGGTTCCACTGTATCATCTTCAGGGTCATGGCAGCTGTAGCGTTCACCACAACATTGGTAGACCTTCAGCATTCTATGTGGCATATTCCCAAAACCGAATTTGTATGGTGAACTCTGGCCACAAAAACTGGAGGACAGAAAATTACTACAGAGTTCGCTCAACAAGAGAAAATCGTTTCAGTGATTGAGCAGGCGTTGCAAATTTGGTGACACTTAATAGGGAACAAAGTCATTTAATATTACAGGAGGAAATATTAATAAATTTTGGTGTTGAATTCAAAATATGGTGGCAGGATAGGTTGGAAACTACAGGCTATTCACAAAAGGAAAAAGAAGTAGAGAAAATTTTGAGACAAGTCTTGGGAAGCTAAATTCTTAATACAAGGCTAAGAGAACAGAACACAACATAACCAGATTGCATTGTGTGGTTATGCTGTCTGGTGAAATGCACCAGTTAAATTGTAAAGAAAAACTTTGTTTCACATTCTTGCTGTATTTTGTGATGAACTGATTGTTATGTTCTGTTATGATTTGGTGCATGGGAGGAGTGTGTTGGTGTTGAATCCAGAAATATGGGTAAGTGTAGAGTTACCATTTTATTTACAGG